TATATGGTTACTCAGCTTGTGCCTTGGGCCTCATGGTGCTGAGTGAGGCCGCGGTGTGTTCTGTTGGTGGCCGGAGCTGACAGGCACTCCTGTAGGCCAGCGGGTCACGCTGCCCGGAGGAGCAGGAGCACGCTCAGTGTGCGTCTTGTGAACTGAGCGTCGGGAGTTCTTGGAAATGAAAGTCCTCTTGCGGCCGTGAGCGTCAGGGTCCAGGTGATGAGCCTGAGGGTGGTGTTGGGGGAGAGTCATTGGAGGAACCGTGTCCCTGCCAGACAGACAGGGCCGTGCAGCTGCTGCTGGAGACGAGCGCGGACAACCAGCACTACTACTGCGACGCGCTGAAGGCCTGCCTGGTCACCACCGTCACCTCCTCCGGCCCCTCCCAGAGCACCATCAAGCTGGTGGCCACCAACATGATTGCCAGCGGCAAGCTGGCAGGTAAGCGAGCTGGGGCCTGTTCACCAGGGCCCGGAGAAGTCAGGCTGCTCCCTGCAAAGGTGAGATCATCAGGGACGTTTCTGCCTTTTTATGGGTCCTGGAGGGAGAGAAGGACTTTTGCTGGCCTTTAGGAGATAGCTCCAACTTAATCGCCTGGGCCAGAGCTCTTTCCAGGAGTGAAAGGGGCCCTGGAAATGACAACGGGCACCAGTTGGACACACCTGGCTGATGAGACGACCTGCTGACAGCCATGCTGACAGCCAGGGAGTGTGCTTGACCTGTGTGCTTCCTGCCTGGTCATTGAGGGGCAGCAGGGGTCTCCAGCAGGTGAAATGACCGGGTGGAGTCAGGCGTGATCTGACTATCACCGGCTGACAGAGGGCGCGGGGCTCACGGGGCTGCCCGGGGTCTTCCAGAGGGTGTGCAGCTGCTCTGCCTGATTGACAAGGCCGCGGATGCCTGCCGCTACCTGCAGACCTACGGGGAGTGGAGCCGGGCTGCGTGGCTTGCAAAGGTAGGCGGTTCCTGTGGGTGCCCTGAGTGCTTGGGTAGAAACTTTAGTCTTGAACCTTACACTCAAGATTTTAGAAGCAGTTTTGGCTGCAGAGCTGCTTTGCAAATATTTTCTTACAAATCATCCTCCTGCTCTTTTGAGCACAGACTGCATTGCTTCTTATTGGGAGACGCAGTTCCCACTGGTGACGGTGCTGACCAGGTGGCAGCCGGCTCACACACCATGTGCTGGCCCCAGGCCCTGCAGGCCGGCCCTGTCCCTCCCAGTCGTGGTCAGCGGCGGCGTCAGGGTGTTGCCAGTGAAGCCACACCCAGCCTCGGTCTCAGGAGCGTGTGGTGATCGGTGCTGGTGTCTGTGCCGATGTCTTGCTCACACGGCGTCTCTCCAGGTCCGGCTGAGCTCGGAAGAGTGCGCCGATGTTCTGAAGCGGTGGGTGGACCACCTTTGCTCTCCCCAAGTCAACCAGAAGTCGAAGGCCCTCCTGGTCCTCCTCTCCCTGGGCTGCTTCTCCAGCGTCGCTGAGATGCTGCACAGGTACCGGGATGCTCCCAGGCTGGGCCCCCGTGCTGCGTCCGTCACTGCCCACGCCCTTGGGGCTCCGCAGCGGGGCGGGGGGGGCAGTGGGGGGGTGGGGGGTGAGGGGGTGGGGGTGTAGGGGAGTGAGGGGTGGGGGGTGGGGGGTTACTCAGTGCCTGAGGTTGGGGAGAGGCCTGCGTTCCAGGCTGATTAAACACCTAAAAGGGGGGGATGGTGCGTTGTTTATTCATTACTTTTTTTTTTTAAGAATAGTTTATTGGTTTTTTAGGGGGAGAGAGAAACATCAATGATGAGAGAGAATCATTGATCAGCTGCCTCCTGCACGCCCCCTACTGGGGATTGAGTCGGCAACCTGGGCCTGTGCCCTGACCAGGAATCGAACCGTGACCTCCTGGTTCATAAGTTAAGGCTCAGCCTCTGAGCCACACCAGCCAGGGCCATGTTTATTTTTATTTGTTTATAATCCTTCACCCGAGAATATTTTTTCATTGATTTTTAGAGAGAGTGGAAGAGAGAGAGAAACATCGATGTGAGAGAAACACATCGATTGGTTGCCTCCTGCATGTGCCCTGGTGAGCGCCTGGGCCAGGGAGGAGCCTGCATCCAATGTACGTGCCCTTGACTGGAATCGAACCTGGGACCCTTTGGCCTATAGGCCGACCTCTGTCCACTGAGCAAAACCGGCCAGGGCAGGGCCATGTCTATTAACCCTTTGTTTGCTCTGGGAGCTATGCTCTATTCCTGCCTGTCCTGGTCAAACCTACAGGTGCCTCTTTAAGAAGAATACGGAGAAGTCTGTAGAGGCTCGGGCACATTCAGCTTTGAGTCCAGGCCCAAGGGCAGTGCGGAGGGGACAGCGTGGGGAGTGGGAGGGTCGCCCTGAGAGTCTGAGGAGCGGTGCCCATGACTCATGATGGACATTTCATGTGTTTCAGAGGAAGGAGGTGGGGGAGGTCAATGCAAGGAGAGGGTACGTGTGGACAGCGGTGCAGGCTGCTGTCCCATCCCTGGAGGTTTCTGTGTCCCGGCTGCTGCTCACTTCTTCCGTGTTAGCAGAAGGGGGCGCGGGTGAGGGCCCGAGTGCCCCCCTCTCCTCGGAAGCCCGGCTAGGAAGGCGCTGGTGAGACGCGCAGCCGTGAGTGACGGCCTGACCTGTGTGTTCTGTCGAGCAGCATGAGATACTTCGATCGAGCCGCCTTGTTCGTGGAGGCGTGTCTCCAGTACGGGGCCCTGGAGGTCGGCCAGGACACAGATATCCTTTGCTGGTGGTGATGCTGAGGAGGCAGCAGTGGACGAGAGGGTTTAGACCCCTCTGGGCACGCCGCCTGGGCAGGGGCTGTATTACCTCGAGGAAGAGCCTGTTCTGATCCCCGAGCCGAGAGGGGACGCGAGGGGACGCGGGGGGTGGCCTTGCTGCTGCAGCTCTGGGACCAGGAAGTCATCAGGGAGGGTCTCGGGCTCTGAGATACGGCGTTTGAGCTTTAAAGAAGGTGCAGGGTCGTTCAGGGAAGGAAGGAGCCTGTGCTGTGATGTGGCTGTTTCAGAGCAGTGCCCTCCAGGCAGTGAGTCCACGTGTTCCTCTGGAAAACATTTCCAGGAGCAAATGGGAGCAGCGTTACCCGCGTGTGGATGGGCTCCCGCCATGGCCGTGCGGGCGGGTCCTGTCCCTGCAGCGGGGACCATGCCGCCTCGCGGCTCAGCGGAACCACGTTTCTCCTTCGGCGAACAGGCTCGAGGTGCCGTTCCACGCCTTCCGTTGGCAGGCCCTGCCTGTTACTGCGCTTTTCCTGACGACGACATGGTCTCATTGTGACAGGCAGTCACGTGTGGTCTGTACGTCGTCGTTACGAGCTCACTTGGGCTCTGGTGAAGCGACTCTAGTTCAGGGGAGCCATTGTGGTATCAGAACCCAGCAGAGCAGGGCCGTCAGAACCCCACGCCCAGAAATGAGGCTCCTGCCGTGGGTCAGGCCTGGAAGAGCCTCTCACTGAGGCTCTCTCTGCCCCAGACGCCAGCCTCTCGGACGGGCACGCGGCTCCTCGGCTTCTTCCCCGGGTGTAGCTATGCTCAGTTGTGGGACCTGGGAGGACGTTAGCGGATCTTCTAGGACAGTGGTCTCCAACCGGAGGTCTGTGGACCACTGGTGGTCCGTAAGGTCCAAAAGGTTGGTGACCGCTGTTCGGAGAAGAATGGGCTCCGCTGGTGCTGTGTGGTGATGTCACAGATGGGACCGCCCTCGCCACGCCAGGAGTGGCCTCAGTGCCTCTGCACCTGTGGGTGGAGCCGCCCTCCCCACGGGGGAGCTGGGTGGTGGGGAGGGGGTGGCTGGGCCTGCCGCCTTCAGCTCCTTGACTGCGGCTCACAGAGACTCATCTCTGCCGTGTACGCAGACTACGCCCGGAGCTTGAAGAGCCTCGGTTTTAAACAGGGAGCAGTTCTTTTCGCTTCAAAAGCTGGAGCCGCTGGCAGAGATTTATTGAATGAGCTGCAGTCCCCCAAACAGGAACTGGCTGAAGAGTGACAGGTTAACAGGCGCCAGGAAATCTGACCGTGCAAGCCAGGTGAGGCGGGCGTCGGTCGGGCCACGGTCACGGTCACAGCCCAGGCTGATGGACGCTTCACTCCAGGTCCTCGAGCGCTCCCCAGCTCCCCGGCCCCGTGCACAGCTGTCAGAGAACAGCGTGAGCGCTCCCATTGTGAGAGAGATGCCACTTTATGCTTTAAGAGTCCCTGGAAAGACTTAATTTTTTTAAACTTAAAATTCAAGCAACTGAATTACTTTTCTCATCGATGACATTTACAGATGTTTGGGAACCTGTAGTGAGTTTGTGAGACCTATTCTCAGCTCTGTGCTGTGCCTGTGTTTATACTCAGCCGTGGAAGATGCAGACGACACGCAGCCAGCAGTGCCGAGGTCACCGAAGCTCCGTGTGTCCTGGCCGAGGTCACCGAAGCGCCCTGTGTCCTGGCCGAGGTCACCGAAGCTCCCTGTGTCCTGGCCGAGGTCACCGAAGCTCCGTGTGTCCTGGCCAAGTCACCCAAGCTCCCTGTGTCCTGGCCGAGGTCACTGAAGCTCCCTGTGTCCTGGCCTGGACTCCCTGTGCCCCGGTCCCGGCAGGGCTGCCTTCTGTGGCATCACGGAGGCTCGCGGGGACTTCCACCCTGTGCGCGTGGTTCCAATACCGGGTCTTTGATATTTGCATTTTAACTCCTGTGATGCATTATGGGAACCTCCTTTTTGATATCTTCATGCTTTAAATTTGTCTTTGTGTTCTTAACATGAGATGTGCCTATTGTAAATTATTGCTGAGATTTTAATGTCCATAACGTACAGAAATGAGAAATAAACAGGAAATCCCAGCCAGGCTTTTGTGTTCTCTGTGCCTGAGGTGGGCGCTGTGCTGGCTCCTCAGGAGTCCGTCCGGCCGCCCACCCTCCGAAGTCCAGGCCGTGCGCCGAACCCAGAGAATCCAGGCTGAGGTCCGAGGGTGCGGCTCGGAGCAGGACTGAGCGCCTGGACCCTGAGCCTGGGCTCTGTCCCCTGAGCGGCTCCGCTGTGGCTCCCAGAGGTGAGGGGGAGGGCGCCTCTCCAGGTTTCCCTCCCAGGTGTGCGCCACCTGCAGGTGGGATTGCAGGTGGGATCCCAGCTCTGCCTGTCCCCTCCGAGAGGAACTGGATCCATGAAGGGCCGTCCGGGGTGTGTGTTCCAGGCCTGCGCTGTGGCCCGTCGAGCACCCGAAGGTCCCCCTCAGGCGCTGGGTACAGCCGTGACGAGTGACCCTCCGCTGATTCACTTCAGGTGCAAGTTCAGGTCCACCGCCTGTCCCCCCGGGCCCACCACCAGGGCGGGAACCAGTGGGAACAGCTGGCTTGGTCTGCAGGGGACTTGCTTGGTGCTCAGTGAACAGGTGCCAAGTGGGTGGGTGGAGGGGAGGAGGGAGGGGCGGAGGGAGTGCAGGTCAGCCCTGTGGAAAAATCCAACCCCTGAGCCATGATGTCTGCGTGGACTCTCACCCGCGTCCGAGACCCAGGGAGGCTCTTCGTCCCCCCCGGAGCGGCGCCCCCGCATCGCTCAGGTCAGACTTCACCCACCCACCTGGAGGAGTCTGTTCTCCGCAGAAGCTCCGACCAGCCCGCTGTGCGCCTGGGAGTCGACGTTCTCGCGCACCGACCTGCCCACACGGAGAGGAAAGCAAGGTGGTCCGTCCCGCTCCTGCGCTTCCCGTCGTGGTCCTCTTGCTCTAGTTGTCGCTGCGCAGGATCCCCACTCTTCTCCCGACTCCTCTAGAGCATGGGGCTCCCTGGGACTGAAGCTCCAGGCGGGGCCCCATCCACCTTCCTACCCCGAGGGCCCCTGGGGCTGAGACGCGCCTGCCAGCCAGCTCCCCAGAGAGGCGGGTGCTGCCATTCAGGCGTCTTCCTTGTCGGAGCCGTTCCACAGAGACGTGCTGTGTGGCCTGGAGGCGACCCCTGCCCATTCCAAGCCTCAGGTTCCCGTGGGTGAGAGACCCTTCCAGCATGGCCCTGCCTCCTGCTTTCCGCCTGCACCGCGCCAGCCTGCGCCAGCCTGCGCCGGGCAGCAGGGGGCAGCAGGGACCGGGACATGCAGGCCGTGGCCTCACCACAGCCCCGAAGCTCGAAGCTCCCGGTTAGGAGCTGCCCTTTGTCTGAACATCTGTCTGGCTCCGCGCCCGGAAGCCACCAGCCCCCGAGCGAGAAGCTTCCCCCCCACTGGGCCCTGGTGAGTGAGGAGGGGGACTCGCCCGGACTTCTACTGGCCTTACAGCCTCTGCACACTGGCTGCTGAGGCCGTGGTCCCAGGTTGGGGATGCGCAGGCCTGTCAGCCCGACCCAATGAGGACCAGCCAGCAGGCCTGAGGAGCGCTGCCCCCCGGGGCTGAGGCTGGGGCTCCGGAGGCCCAGGCCATGGGTGTGGGCGGGGCAGGAGTGTTTGGGTTGGTCCCTCCCTGTGCAGCTGGGAAAGGGGGTTCCTATAAATGTGTGACCCAGGGCCCCCAGCATCTCCTGAGACAAGCTGTGCCTCTGCTGCCGCCTCCCCAGCCCTGGTTGGTGGGCAGAGGCCCAGGATCTAAGTGCCAGAGAGAGACCTGGGCCTGGGAGCCCGGTGCCCGGAGACTGCAGAGCCGGGACGGCCTCCTCGGGCCTGGCCGGGGCTGCAGGAGGTGGGAGGCCCACGGAGGGACGGAGGCGTTCTCGGGCCTCACCCTCGGAGGCTGGCGGGCAGTGCAGCACCAGGACTGAGCAGGCTGCCTGGGGAGGGGGCTGTGGGCAGACGCAGCTGGAAGGGGAGGGCTGCCTGGGCAGGCCCGGGGCCTCAGGCAGGACCAACCGCAGCAGCTGGGGGGGAGAGGGGGCGGGGGCGGGGTTTTCAGATGCAGCTTTCTGGGCCCCTCCTGAATCAGTGGAGCTGGGAGTCTACATTTTAACGAGTCCCTGGAGAATCTAATTCACACGAAGCAAGAGAAGCAGAACTTGGGAGCCTGTTTCTATCCAGTCAACAGACATTCGCAGAGCACCCCTCCCTCCCCGCACGTCAGACTCCTGTCCCTCCCTGGGCACCTTCCCGCCCTCCTCTCCGAAGACCCCCTCCTCGGGCCTTTCCCCAAACCGCTGCCCCTCAGGCCCTCTCCACGCAGCCCCTCGGTGCCCGTCCAGGCCTCCACCCAGGCGCAGGCAGCTCACGTGCGTGTATTTACTCACTGCCGTGTCCCTCTACGCCCCCTGCGCAAGGCCAGGGCCGGGCATGTGGAGGTCACCCCTCCACCCTGTGTCGCTGGCACAGAGAGGCCAGTGTGTTTGTCGGATGAAGGATGAGGCCACGTCTCATCATGGACAGGGGGGTGGGCGTGTTGGAGAAAGGACATTTGAAATGAGGGAAGGTGTCGGTGGCGGAAGCCCCTAAGCCAGGAGGCCCAGCGTGGCCACTGCCAGCCCCTCAAGGGACGCTCACCCGTGGGTGGCAGGGAGGGAGCGACCAGGAGAGCTCACAGCGGCGTCCCTGGTGGGGGCGCAGAGCCCAGCTTCCGGGGCTGGGTCTGTGCAGGTAGGAGGCCCGCCCGGCTCGGCTGTGCCAGCCCGAGGCCCCGCGGTTCCAGGAACCCTTCCCAGAACCTGCTTGCAGGGACTTGCCCTCTGGCACGCCAGGAGCTGTGTGCTGGCTGCCTTGTGAGGAGATTAAGCTTTCTTTTAAAAAGATGGAAACAGCCTAGTAACGGCTTGACTGGCGCTGACCCCGAGGAGGCGGTGGTGGTAACTGATGGGCACCGTTTGCCTGATTAATCTTCTTGTCAACAGAGTTGTTCCCTGCCGGTGCCAGCTCTGACATCACCCCGCAAACTTGCCACCCTGGCTCCTACCCAACCACACGGCACCTCTGACCCAGCCCTGAGCTCCGAGTCACCCCAAAACGCGGCCTGTGGTGCTGCCGCCGGTGGAACCTGTGGTGGGAACAGGTACCATCCCTGCTGGCCTAGGAGTGACCCCGGGTCCAGCGGGGTGGACGGCGGGTGGAGGCCTGGAAGGACCCAGATGCTGAGCTTCAGCGGCGGGTTCAGCTCCAGGAGGTCGACGCCCCGGGCTGATGCTGTTGTCAGGCGGGGCTGCCCCAAGCGGCAACATTGCAAACTCAAGTGCCAGGACCCAGGCCGGTAAGAAACGAGCCCGACTGGGTTTAGAATTGGGGTGGGGCCCGGACTGCGGTCCTTAGCAGGCGAGTCGAGTGTACAGACTGGGTGGGTTTACGGCTGAACTGGGCCCCCTGGTGGCCATTGCCTCCCTCTGCACCAGGCTCCTGCGCAAGGTGCTGACCCCACACTGTCCCGGTAGCTCAGGCTGTCCTTCCCGTTTGCTGTCAGAGCGTCCATGCACCTGCTTCTGTGCCATCTGTTCCGCTCACGCCGCTTCCTAACCCAGGGGTCTGCGGACAAAGGCTGGGGGCCCCGCGATGGGGATGGGGGCATGGCCCTCCTTGTTCGCACTGACCTCTGACGGACGGAGCGTTTTCAATGGTCACATCGCACCTGCAGGAGCGCAGCTCTCTCCCGATCGCGGGGCGGTTGGCGCAGATACTCCGCACACCGACCATCTCCTCCGTCTGAAAGGCCTGCGGTGAGTACGCGGGTCTGTGGGTGGGTGACCTCATAGAGGACCCGTGACCTCAGAGAGGACCCGTGACCTCAGAGAGGACCTGTGACCTCATAGGTTAGAGGACGTGGCTACCGAGCATTTCAGAGTCTGATGGCTGTTTCAGTGCAGCAGCGGCGGCCTGTCCTGAGCACCTCACTGTCCCTGTTGTCACACACCCGGGGCCCAGCGCCTCTGCGGACGCCCTCGGTGCTGCCCAGCCACCTGGACCATCAGCTCCCCCTCAGGTCCTGGCGCACAGTAGGTGCTCATGACGTTTTTGCCATAAAATGGGGCCATGGGGCCTGGCCCTTCTGTCAACGTCCAGTCGCTCCGTGGGGTTCCTGAGACGTCGCTGTTGTCCGTCAGCTGTAACCCCAATTTTCAAACGATGTTCCAGGAGGAACGGCCTCGCCGGGTTCAGGGACCCGCATGTCCCCGGAGGAGGTCCGGGCCTTTGCCGGATGCACGTGCCTCTTCCTCCGGGACAAACCCGGCCCCGCCGGGAGAGGGGGCCTTGCTCCCTCTGTGAGTTCGGGGCGACCCCGCCAGGCAGGCCCCCCGCCCCCACTCCTTTTCCTGCTGCAGCTACAGGGCCGCCCGCGCCCGGCAGCCGCCCAGGATGTTCCCAAAGGGACCCCGTTCCCCGCTCCCTCCACCCTGGAGGTCGGAGCGCACGGCCCGGCCACGCGATGGCGCTGCGCCCCTGGCGGTGGAGCCTCCGCCTCCGCTTCTCGCCCAGCGCCCCGCGAGGTTCACCAGCCGGGGGTCCGTCACCCCGTCACCCATCCACTCCTCCCAGATCCGGGGCGTGGGAACGGGGCGCCCGGGGCGGGCCCTGCAGGGGGAGCGCGAGGGGCCGGGGTCTCGCAGCCTCGGGGCGGGGGGGGGGGGGTAACCCCAGGAGCTCGGCTGTGGGAGCCTTGAACTCGCTGTGCGCACCCCGCGTTCTCGGAGGCGGCCCGCGCCTGTCCTGGGCCCAGATGGACCCGAATGCCTTTCCGCCCGTTTTCCTCCTGCAGAAGCGGATGGGAGCGCCCGGCGGTGGAGGAGAAGGAGCTGAAGCTGGGACGGCTGTCAGCGCCCCGGCCGGAGCCCCGCGCGTCCAGGGCGCATCGTCCCCCTGTTGACTGGGCCGCCTCCGCCCCAACAAAACGGCCCCGGGACTGAAGAGCCGCGCAGCGGGCACCGTGGCTGGCGCATCCGAAGAGCCAAGGCCGCTGGGCCCTGACGGTGGGCAGAGACCAGGGCGCCGGCAGCCCAGGCGGGGGATGGGGCCCTCGTGCGCCAGGCCGAGAACTGTTAGAAGACAAGGCGCCAGGGCGGTGAGCATTCGCCCCAAACCCTCGATTCGGAGCGGCCCGCTCTTGGGAAACTGGTTCTGGCGAGAGGACGTGGCCTGGGCGAGCCAGGGCTGCGCTGGGACCCAGGGGTTCGGGAAAGGGTGAGGCCGGCCGTGGCTGTGCTGGGTCGTCCTGGGGCCTGGGGCCCCCTCCCACCCCCTGGCCGCGTCCCTGGGTCTGCCCCTCCCGCCTGACCCTGTGTGTGCGGCCACTCGGGTGTGCAGGCTGGAGCTGGCCCCTCTGAGCCAGCCAGGCTGGGGGGACGTCAGGAGGGTAAATGCCTGGGGCTCCCAGCCCAGGAGTCTCACCCGGTGACTCGGTGACTCGGGACAAGGGAGGGCGAGGGCGCCTGGAGGAGCCCGTGTTACTGTGTGACGCTTATCAGTGTAACGAGCTGCTTATGACGTGTTAAGTGCAGGCATCTGGGCTCGGTTTTATTTGTAGGCTTCAAACTGGGCGCTTGGCATGTGGAAAATGCCAGTTAATGGTGAAAAATCAGAATTTCCTTTCTTTAAAAATCGGAATTTCTAATGGGGAGGGAGGATTTTGCAATAGCTTTTCAAATTATCCCAGAATGTATCCAAAGCACACAGGTATTCACACACAATCAACCGCAACCACAAAGACAATATACATACACTTTTTTTATGAAAGAAGCAGTAATTCACTGCTCTGTTCTGCATGGTGGCATGATCTGTGCTTTTGCTGGAGGGAAGAATGAGTTTAAAACAGGTATCACCAACACAAATCTCCCACAAGTTGCTCTAGGAAATCTGTTATTTCTACCCGTTTCTTGCAGGCCCGAGAACAGACGTCTCCAGGAGTATTTACTGCGCCTTCATGAGGAGAATTTCCAGGCTGCCCCTTGAAGCAATGACGTTGGACTTGGAGCAAATGGAAACATTGTGAAATTGCTTATTTTCTTCCAAAATCTGTATTTTCTTCCTTGCTTCCTGTTCAGTCAGGCCCACTCATTAGCAGCCATGTCTTTGCGTTATGCTCAGCCCAAGTTTTGCTCCGTGACCATATTCCAAATTAAACTTTTATGTTTCCAGGAAAAGTGTAACAAGTGTTTCAGTCAGTCAGAACTTAAACTAATGAGAGGATGGGGCGGGGAAGGGGAGAAGCCCGCAACCTCGTCTTCTGTGCAACTATTGCTTTTTATCTGCTTCACGCTTCGGGGAGCTTTTATCCCTGGGTCTTAGAAGGACTTCTCACGAAGCAAGACGCCCCGAGAAGCGAGAGGCTGAACTAAGAGCTGCTGCAAAGCCCTGGCCAACGCCGGCCTCAGGGAAGACACGGGGGAGTGTTAGTTTCTGAGGGTGTGGACGGCTGCCCGCAGCCAGCTGCCCTGTGGGAGCCGGAAGGGTGTCCCGTCTGGAAGCCGCACTTTGCAGATGGGGTGACAGCAGCACACCCACGAGAACCGAGGGGTAAAGTGACAGGTGGAGCTCATGCCCTTTGCTGCATGTTCATAGAGCAGCTACTTGTCGCACGTCCAGTGTCCCTCTGCCAGGGAGCAATGAAGACGGCCGTAGCTAAATGCAAGCCGTTACTTCCAGCCAAGCGAAAAGACACCTTTCCTAAGAGGGTGACCGACCCCGAATTAACTTTCTGTCAGTGTGGCCCAGCAAGGCCCTCGCTCTGTCTCCATCGCCCTCGTTTGCGCCTCTGAGCATTTTCCGCTCTGGCAGCGTGGCTCAGGGGTTGAGCGTCAACCTAGGAGCCAGGAGGTCACAGTTCGATTCCTGGTCAGGGCACGTGCCCCGGCTGCGGGCTCGATTCCCAGTGTGGGGCGTGCAGGAGGCAGCCGATCCATGATTCTCTCTCATTGATGTTTCTCTCCCTCTCCCTCTTCCTTCCTCTCTGAGATCAATAAAAAAATATATTAAAAAGAGCAAACACAAAAAGCTAAAGAGCATTTTCCCAGGGAACCGCTGTAAACCTGACTCTGAATGTGAGAGACGGGGCGGCTGCTCAGTTCACCACGAGCTGTGCTCAGACGAGCCGTGCGTAGCATGGGTGCTCCTTCTAAGGAAATCCTGGTAGTTGATCCAGCCCAGAACACCTGAGAAAGAAGAATATTAAAAGCATTATATCGTTGAGGGGGAAAAAGAAAAAATGCCAGTCACCAAATGAAACCATCAACAGGTGACAGCTATACCCACGCCTCCACCACAGACCCTAGTGGAGTTAATACTCGTCCCTGGTGAAGGCCGTGAAGAAAATGAGATTAGTCAGTAAATGATGTTAGGACCAACCATGTGGAAAAAATTAAAGGTAATCCCCAGCTCTCCCCATAGACCAAATAAGTTCCACATGCAGTTAACAGTTATGCAAAAATAACAAAAGCAAGAGGGCTTTGTAGCTATAAATGCTTAAAGATAGGCTAATAAATAAACGATTATTGGGGCTGACCACAGAAACGCGAAAACTGCCTATCAGCACATCGGAAGGTGTTGGTGGAAAATATCAGGGAGTTAAACCTTACTTTTGTGTGAAAGGCTAATGCAAAACAGTGAGGAAATAATTAATAGTCACGGGCAAAGAAGATAAGTAGATGAAGTACAAATATTCAATAAACATTAAATCATATTCAAATTTATGAATTAAAAAATGTAACTGTAAGACATAGTTAATGGAGCAGCGTGGCTTTCAGGGTGTTTTCCTGGTTCTGCGAGGGCTCCCCAGTCAGACTGCAGAGGCGGATTGCAGAGGCTTCCCGCGTTCGGAGTGACTTCCACATTGGAGAGCTAGCCTGTGTGTCCAGGACTTAGAGCTGTCACCATCCACCAGACAGACCATTACTCAGCCATTATGTTATTATTATTATTAAGATTTAAGGCTACGGGGAAGTGACCAGGATGTTATGCGAAGTGGAAGATTGGATACGAAACCTGTGCATAGCGTGTATGCCCTAAAGTTTTCTGTAGGAATGCTGGGCATGGCGTGTCATCTCTATTTTCCCCTTTAATGTATTTTCCCCGTAAGAAAACAGAGCAGTTTAGGACAGAAAACACCTTGTTGACAGTAACTTGAGCATCTCCGTCTGACTCCTGGACACAGACCCATTGGAGGCCAGTAGGGAGACTTCTTGGGAGCTGGTGGGGGCCGTTCTCCCTGGAACCCCCACAATCTCCGGAAGAGGCCCCCACGCCTTGTCCGTGTTTGCTCTGCACTCAGACCCCCAGGGCAGGTTTGCCCGCTAGTCAGGGAGGCAGGGTCTCGAGGGCGGTCTCGCTTGCCCACAGCCCTCTGCACCCCGACCCTGTGGCAGGGTGGGCCGGCGCCAGGACCGTTTCCATGGCGTGAGGTGACGCGCTCCCATCCGCGCCTTTGGCAGACATTCCCGGGCCTGGCTGCCTTCCCCGCTGAGCACACCCTCGATTCCTGAGGTGACACAGGAGGTGCTGAGAGCCAACCCCGCAAACAAGGCAGCTCATACCCTGGACACAGAAGCTCCAGAAAAACATGTGACAATGGTTATGGTTATGGTTAGGGTTAGAGTTAGTGTTAGGTTTAGGGTTAAGATGGAGTCACCTGTCACTCAGACCTATCCTGGGCTAGGGTTAGGGTTAGGGACAGGGACAGGGTTAGGGTTAGGGTTAGGGTTAGGGCTAGGGTTAGGGTTAGGGTTAGGGTTAGGGTTAGGGCTAGGGATAGGGTTAGGGTTAGTGTTAGGGTTAGGGATAGGGACAGGGTTAGGGTTAGGGTTAGGGCTAGGGTTAGGGTTAGGGCTAAGGCTGGGGCTAGGGTTAGGGTTAGGGACAGGGTTAGGGTTAGGGATAGGGACAGGGTTAGGGTTAGGGTTAGGGCTAGGGTTAGGGTTAGGGCTAGGGCTGGGGCTAGGGTTAGGGTTAGGGACAGGGTTAGGGTTAGGGTTAGGGATATGGACAGGGTTAGGGTTAGGGTTAGGGTTATGCTTAGCAGTTAGGGTTAGGGGTTAAGTGTAAGGGTTAGGGTTAGGTTTAGGGTTAGAGTTAGGGTTAGTGTTAGGGTTAGTGTTAGGGTTATGGGTTATTGTTAGGTTTAGAGTTAATAGTAGGGTTTGGATTAGTGTTCGCTGTTATGGTTAGGGTTAGGATTAGCAGTTCGGTTTAGTGTTAGGTTTAGGAGTTACGGTTAGGTTTCGAGGTTAGGGTTAAGTTTTGGTCTAGGGTATGGTTATTATTAGGGCTAGGGCCAAGTTTATATTTGGGGTGTAGGGTAGGGCTCGGTTTAGGCCTAGGCCTAAGTGTAGGTTCAATGTCAGGGTCAGGTTTAGGGTTTGACCTGAATTCGTCTCCAAAGCTCGATGCCGCAGCCTTCTCAGCCGCCTCTCAGAACTAAATGTGTGACCTTTAGAGGGGGCTGCTTGGACGGGTTTCTCAGGGTTAAATATCACAAGCGTGTTATCTTTTATCACAAGTCTGTCTTTTTAAATAAATATATATACTTTGCTGATTTCACAGAGGAAGGGCGAGAGAGAAACAATGATGAAAGAGAATCATGGATCGGCTGCCTCCTGCACACCCCACACTGGGCATTGGGCCCTTACCTGGGCATGTGCCCTGACAGGGAATCGAACCCTGGCCTCCTGTTTCCTACGTCAACACTCAACCACCGATCCACACTGGCTAGGCACTCGCCTTTCATGTGCAGCCATCACAGTGTACCAGGCGCAAGAGCAGGACAGAGTGCATATCTGTGTGACTGATCATCAAGATCAAAAGTAAGCCGTCCCTCTTTCCACTAAGGCTCAGGTTGGCCTTGGAGTTGCCCAGCCACAAGGGGGCTTGACCCTTGTGTTCAAAACCTCCTCACTGAATGCTGATGTGTTTGGACGGGAGGAGCTGGGATAGACAAAACTACGTTCTTGTCGTGTGAGGGCTCCTCTTTCCAGAGCCCATCGTCTGTGCATCTCTCCTCACATCCTTCTTGGTGGGACCCCAGGGGACAGACAAGCTGGTGGGAACAAGGGGTTGCTCCACAAGTGGCTTCCACTCCATGGCCCCCGGTGGCACCGGTGCCTCGGCCCGACCCTCATAGCAGCCAGCAGGCCTGCCCGTCGCAGCTCTGGAACCCCGGGCAGGGGGTCTGGCATGGGGCCTGGACCCCTTGTTTCTCTCGTGGGAACACCACAGAGAGGCAATCTCCCTCCTGATTAAGAAAACGCCACATGTGGGCGTTGGACCAGCCTGTTCTGCACCCCGCCCCCCTGCCAGTCTCCACACGCTGTCTTCTTTCCTTCCCTAGTTGTAGGGCTTCCATCCAGCCAGCTTTCAAGTGGTTCTGAATGATACTTATCCTGCATTTTATTTTATTTTATTTATTTAGAAATAGCGTTTTTTAAAAAAATATACTGTTATTGATTTCAGAGAGGAAGGGAGAGGGAGAGAGAGATGAAACATCGAGGCGAGAGGATCACGGGTCGGCTGCCTCCTGCACGCCCCCCGCTGGGGATGGAGCCCCCAACCCAGGCCTGTGCCCTTGATCGGAATAGAACCCGGGATTCTTCAGTCCACAGGCCGATGCTCTGTCCACTGAGCAACACCAGCCAGGGCAATCGCTGTTCTGTATTTTAGTTGTAACTGAGATGTGCTTGTGGGAGGCGGTGAGCACGGCGTTACCTACGCCACCACCTTGGTTCTCCTGAGAGTCCAGCTTCTGCGGATCAGCCAGAGAAAACCACCCGGCCAGGGGGTGCGTGTGCCAGGCGCCCGAGACTGCACGGCGGGAAGGAGCACGACGCCTAAGGAAAGGAATGGAAAACAGTGTCGTTAACAGGGAGACGCTCACGCCGGTGAACACGGGGCCACACCCACACCACGGTCGCGGCTCTCAGGCCCGTCATCTGTGACGTGTGACACAGGCAGAGCCCGTCTATGACCCGATGGGCTGCGTTTCGAGGTAGAAAAACCTGGAAGGACGTGTACCCGCGCCCGGGATCGGAGTGCCGGTGGCTGTGACGGCATTCCTGGACCTTCTCAGGGCTTTCTAAATCTGTTTACAGCGAGAGCCGCTTTTGTCACCAGAAATGCGTAATTTATGAAATGACCAGCCTGGGGCCACTGCCTCCAT